ACGACCGCTCCTGAATTATTGTATCTTTGTATTGTAGACTTTGTGATCTTCATGGACACCATAAGCTGGTAGCGCCTGTATCTTAATCTTTGTACTGTAGAATGTGTCAACTTTAAGGCCACCAAAAATTGTAGCAGCAATGTCCACGTAGTGTAGACCTTGTGATTTTCAACGACACTCTATAACGGTGTAACACCTCCACCCTTCAATTTGTGTATCGTTGTTTTGTAGACTGTGGTTTCTTTAAGGGCACTACCCGCTTCAAACGGCAACGGCCATCCTGAAATTGCTGCATTTTTGTATTGTCGACTTTGTAATCTCTCAGGACACCACAAGCTTGTAACGCCAACATCTACCCTAATCTGTTGATATGTTATTGTATTGTATGCTTTGTAAACTAAGGACATTACAAGTTTGTAATGCTAACGTCCACCCTGAAATTTCTGTATCGTTGTACTGCAACGTTTGTAGACTTTGAAACACGATCATGTAGGTTTGTAACGCCACCGTCCACCCTTCCTTTCTTGTATCTTTGTATTGCAGACTTCGTCCATAAAGCAAACGTCCACCCTTCGACTTCCAAGAGAGTCAGGACCCTATAGATTTGTAACGCCAACGTCCTCCCTTCCTTTCTTGTATGTTTGTTTTGTGGACTTTGTAAACTTTAATTTTCCGACACATAAGGGCATGATACGTTTGCAACACCAACGTCCATCCCACATTTTGGTATGTTTGGTTGTAGACAGTGTAAACTGCAGTAAACTTCTGTATATTTGTAGCGCAAACATGCACCTTTCAAGTCTTGTCCTTTGTAACGCCAAAGTTCAACCCTCAGATTTCTGTATCTTTGTATGTAGGCGTGGCATACATTAGGGACACTATTAGACGTTTGTAGCGCCAATGTCCACCGTCAAGCTTCTGTATCCTTTTATTGTAGAGCTTGCAAACGGAAAAATACTCTGTAAGAGTGGGACGTCAACGTTCCCCTTAAAGTTTTTGTATGTTTGCCTTGTGGACCTTGTAAACATTCAGACACTATGAGTTTGTAATGCCAACGTCCACCTTTAAATTTGTGTATCTTAGCATTGTAGACTTCGCAATCGGCAAGGACATCAAATGCGTGTAACACCAACGTCCACCCTGAAATCTTTGTTGTGTTGTGTTGTAGAATTTGTAAGCTCAAAGCTTGTAACGCCAACGATCATCCCTGAATTGTTGTATCTTTGTTTAGTTGACTTAGTATTATTTATGCACACTACACACATGGTTGTAACGCCAACGTCCACCCGGAAGTTTCTGAATCTTTGTATGGTAGAGTTTGTAGATTCTGAGGACACCATGAGTGATTAACGCCAACGTCCACCCTTCCTTTTTTGTATCTTTGTATTGTAAACTGTGTATACTTTCAGGACACTACAGGAGTGTAGCGCCAACGTCCACCCTTCCTTTTTTGTATCTTGGTATTGTAGGGATGGTGAACTTCACAGACTTTGTAAGAGTCTCACGACGTTCATCCTTAAGCTGTAGTATCTTTGTAGTGTAGACTTTGTATTCCTTATGGACACTGTAAGTAATTATGCAACGCCAACGTCCGCCCTCAAACTGTTGTATCTTTGTGTCTTCGTACTATGGATTTTGCAAACTTTTGTGACAAGTGTTTTATCTTTGTGTGGTAGAGGTTGTAAACTTTAAGGACGCTATAAGTGTGTAATGCCAACGTTCTTTGTGTTGTCGAGTTCGTAAACTTTGGGGACACCATATGTTTGCACCGCCAACGGCTACCCTTCATTTCTTGTACTAAAACTGTGTTTTTTGTATTGTAGAGTTTGTAACCTTTAGGGACACCAGAAGTTTGTAATGCCAACAGCACCCTTAAGTCTTCGTATCTGTGTATCGTAGACCAAATAAGCTTCAGCGACACTACAAGCGAGTAATGCCAACGTCAACACTTGAAGTGTTGTATCTTTGCATTGGGCATTGTAGACTCTGGAAGCTTTAGCGACACCATATGTTTTTCAATGCCAATGTCCACCGTGTGATTATACTGTTGAATTTTTGTGTTGTTGCCTTACCAAAACTCAGTGACACTATAAGATTGCAACACCAGCTGTTTGTATGTTTGCAGTGTAGAGTTTGTAAACTTTGCGGCGCTATATGAGTGTAACGCCGACCAAGGTCCACCCTGCATTTTGTGTATCTTTGCATTGTAGACTTCGTGAATTGTAAGGACGCCATAAGTTTGTAGCGCCAACGTTCACTCTTAAGTTCTCGCACTCACCCTTGTTGGAACTCCGGAATCTGCCGGTGCTTCTCGGGAAAAGTGGCTAGAAGCGAATCCCCAATCTCGTCGCGAGAATGGGGGGTTTGCAAACCCCGTTTCAAACCCCCACTCTGGGCTCGAGAATACGGGTCTTGTTCCCGTGCTTGGCTGAGATTGCAATTTCCTGGTTTTGCTCATGTCCCGGAGGAGTCTTGGGCCGCCGCGCTCTTCGACTACGGCAAGTACGAGGCACTCCGGTTCTTTCGCTAGACGTCATTAGTTGGGGGTCCTCCGGCAGAGGTGCTGCGGTTCCTGCTCTCCAACCTCCGTTGGTGGATTGAGGTCTCCCTGTTTTCTGCTGGGCGACGAATCTTCTAGCAACTTGAGTTCGCACTCCCGAGGAGTACGGCATCGATGGCTTCTGCTTCGCAGGCATCACGAGCATGCTGCTCGTGGCCCCAGTGTTTAGTGTGGCAAAACACATAGAGAGAGAGAGAGAGAGAGAGAGAGAGAGAGAGAGAGAGAGAGAGAGAGAGCAAAGCTCAGATAGGTTTGTCGTCGCTGTTTAGGTACCACTCCCACGGAATCGGCAAGTCCTTTGCCAACTCCAAAGAGCCGAAACCCCAGCAAGAGGCAACGCGGCGATGCAAAGCCGGAAGCCGCTGCGAGCGCTTTGGCGTGCGCGCGCGCGTGTTGTCCTCTCCCTTTCCTCTCGCTCTAGACCCCCCCATGAAAAACCTCCTCGCCTCTCTTCTAGTCGCCACTCTCTGCCCCCCCCCCAGCCCCCGAAACCCTCTCGCTCTCTCTCTCTCGCCTCTCGCCCTCTCGCTCTCTCTCTCTCTCTGCTCTCTGCCATTAGGCACTTCGGCTGGGACGCGGACCTCGAGCTTCCAACTCAGTTCGAGCTCAGTTCGCTGCTGTCTGCTGCTCCGCACGACGGGACGGGACGGGGGGAGTCTGCGTCTGCTGAAATTCAGCGCCTCAGAGCTCCGCTCCCGGCCGCAGCGGCGCGCGGGCTCTCTCTTTCCTCGCGCGGTGAGCCTCGAAGTGCGCTGTCGTTGTTGTGTGTGTTGTGTGCTTGCACGCAAGGTGTTCCCTTCGGCACAGGTGTTGTTATGTGGCGAGAATTGAGCGTTGCGCTGGCATCTGAAGATACGTATGCAAATATGGCTGTGCTGAGGTCCGCCACGTATCTGATGCTGGCGAACCACCTGGTGCATCGCCTGCTGCCCTCCTCTGGCATCACCTTGGCGGAGGACTGGCGCCGGGGGGGGCCCCGCGGGGGGGCCCAGCCGCAGCTGTGGCGGCCAGGACTTCTCGAGCCATCCCGTGCTCTGCCGCAGCGTGGAAGACGGGGGCTTCGGCTTTGGGCCTCAGCAGACTCAGCCGAAGAAAGGGCCGAGCCCAAGTTGCCCAGGCTTCAGCGGCCGGCTGGTGCCCTCCAGCCCGGAGCCAAGAGGGCGTGGGCGCGGCGCGTGCAGAAAAACCCTTTCCAAGTTGGTTTGCAGGCGCCCAGCTCTTCCGGCAGCTGCTCCAGGACCGCGGAAAGCGACGGCTGCGCGCGCGTGTGCCGTGTGTGCCGTGTGTGCCGTGTGTGCCGTGTGTGCCGTGAGCCCCCGGCCCCCTTTGCTCAGGAGCCCGAGGAGGCCTGGAACGTGACGGACCTGGTGAGGACGCTCTGGCGCCCTCCCAAGCTTTCACTTCGCTCTGCCGTGGCTTTGAGTTTTGTCCTGTCCTAAGGAAGCCTCGGCGAATTCAGGACTCGGCTGACTCCCCCCCCGTCTGCCTCTCCAGCAGCTCTCGCCTCTCGCGGCTGCAGGAGCCGCGCGTGGCCTACACCGAGTCTCACCAGGACCAGAGCCGGAGAGCAGCGCTGGGAAAGAGAAGTCCCGAAGTGCCGGAAGTGCGACTTTCGGCCGCGAGGAGGCGCTGAGTCAGCCGCTTGGCCGGCTCCTCGCTGAAGGCGCCGGCAAAGGAACGTCCCCTCCCACTCCGCCTCCGTCTCCTCTGCAACTCTGCCGAGCATGCAGGGACTCGATCTCCCCATTCTGCATGAAAGCTTCAGAGACAACATCGCGGATGTTCTTATGCTTCATTTCAGTGAGTTGCCCCTCGGTGCTGCGGGACTTCTCGCCTGCCCTGCGTGTAGCTTCGCTGGCGAATGACCGCGTTCCAAGGGCCCGTCAAGAGCCAATTGTGGAAAACGTCAGTAATACTAAGATAGGATGGGCCTTGGTGAACATGGACAGAGGTGCGCAAAGCACGCATGCTGCTGCAACGGATACAAAACCTGCATCGCAGACGTGACTGACGTGTGCACACCGGATAGACACTTCCAGTAAACGAGTGGCTTCAGATCACTGCCGCTTCACAACCCTTCATGTCAAGATCGACGCATACGAACTTCCGTGCTGTAAGCATGCGCGAGCACATTTCCGTGAATCTCTTGTTAGCCAGACAGTCATCCCTGCCGAAAAACTCCAGGGAGATTGGAATCAGGAAGCCTCAGCCAAGCTCAGGCAGCGGGCCCATCCCCACGAATCCACACCTCTCCCTCTCCCTCTCCCCCTCTCTCTCTCTGCCTCTCTCTCCTGCCTCAGGCGACCAGTCCCGCGGCTTGGCCCTGCAGAAGCTAATGCGCAGGGCACCAAGAGCGCTCTAAGAGGGAGCTTCTTGTTCCTCTCCCGGCTCGCCCTTTGTGCCTCTCTCGCTCTCCTCTCTCTCTCTTTCTCTTTCTCTTTCTTTCGCGCGGGCAGGCCTGGCCACCTTGGGACTCGGCAGCGAGGCACTGCTCCCGAGCCGACCACCGAAAGCGGGGGGATAGTTTAGGGTGTGCAGGGCAAAGGGCTACTGCTGTGGGGTTTCGCAGAAACCATTTCAGTCCGGTCAGAACCAAGAGAAGAGGCTTCGACACTTGCGGAGAAGTTCGGGAGCATACAGCCATTGGGCCATGGAACGATGCAAACGGATGAGGTAACGTATGATAATTCGCAGCTTGCTTAGTGAAGTCTCAATCGGAATTAAACCTTTTTCTGTTGACAACCCCCAGGGTTTATACGGTTACACAATGACCTTTTGGATGGAAGAGCCATGATGGATTTTCATTCGGAGGATTGACGTTGTCAAGAATGAAAGTCTCACGAAAGCTGCTGAGCAGCTCTTCGGGAGCTTGTGGGAGTCGCTGCACCGAAGCGGCAACCGGCAACCGCAAGGCCGCAAGACCTCTCAGCGTCTCAGCCTTTGGCGCCTTGATGTCTGACAAATCTCGCGCGCGCACGCGCGTGACGATGGTTCTGCTGTCTGCGGCTGCAAAGGGTGGCTATCACGACTACTGCAGCCAATAGAAGCATATTCCAAACCAAAACCCAGAAAGCCCCAAACCCTAGTAGCAAGGCAAGAGCCCTGACACCCGTGTCTCACCAGCTCACCAGCTTCGGCGGCCCCTGCAATACGGACGATATTTCCATTGCGCGCGCAAACAGCGGACGCGCACCACTAAACCCGAGAAACCCGAGAAACCCGAGAAACCCGAGAAACTCGAGAAACCCGAGAAACCCGAGAAACCAGGGGCGCCCCATAAACCCAAGGCTCCACCCTCGGAGTTCATGATCTGTAAGGGTTGCGACTTAGAAGGAAGGCAGGGGTGCCCCAGCAACCCAAGGCCCGACCCTCGGAGTTCAAGATTTGAAAGAGTTCTGATTAAAAAAAACAGGGGCGTCCGAGGCCCCACCCCCGGAGTTCAAGCTCACTAAGAGGCGGTGATCTGAAAATCATGGGCGCTCCATCAGTCCAAGTCCTCATCCTCGGAGTTCAACATCTGTCAAAGCTTTGATTTAAGAATCAGGGGTGCCCCAGCAACCCAAGGCCCGACCCTCGGAGTTCAAGGATCTGTAAGGGTTCTGATTTAAAAATCAGGGGCGCCCCGCTCCATCAGAGGCCAAGGCCCCACCCTCGGAGTTCAAGCTCTGTAAGGGTTGTGATTTAGAAATCAGGGGTGCCCCAGCAACCCAAGGCCCGACCCTCGGAGTTCAAGCTTTGAAAGAGTTCTGATTAAAAAAGAACAGGGGCGTCCGAGGCCCCACCCCCGGAGTTCAAGCTCACTAAGAGGCGGTGATCTGAAAATCATGGGCGCTCCATCATTCCAGGGCCTCCTCCTCGGAGTTCAACATCTGTCAAAGCTTTGATTTAAGAATCAGGGGTGCCCCATCAGTCCAAAGCCCCACCCTCAGAGTTCAAGGATCTGTAAGGGTTCTGATTTAAAAATCAGGGGCGCCCCGCTCCATCAGAGTCCAAGGCCCCACCCTCGGAGTTCAAGATCTGTAAGGGTTGGGATTTAGAAATCAGGGGAGCCCCGCTCCATCAGAGTCCAAGGCCCCACCCTCGGAGTTCAAGATTTGAAAGAGTTCTGATTAAAACAACCAGGGGCGTCCGAGGCCCCACCCCCGGAGTTCAAGCTCACTAAGAGGCGGTGATCTGAAAATCATGGGCGCTCCATCAGTCCAGGGCCTCCTCCTCGGCGTTCAACATCTGTCAAAGCTTTGATTTAAGAATCAGGGGTGCCCCATCAGTCCAAAGCCCCACCCTCGGAGTTCAAGGATCTGTAAGGGTTCTGATTTAAAAATCAGGGGCGCCCGCTCCATCAGAGTCCAAGGCCCCACCCTCGGAGTTCAAGATCTGTAAGGGTTGTGATTTAGAAATCAGGGGTGCCCCATCAACCCAAGGCCCGACCCTCGGAGTTCAAGATTTGAAAAAGTTCTGATTAAAACAACCAGGGGCGTCCGAGGCCCCACCCCCCGGAGTTCAAGATCACTAAGAGGCGGTGATCTGGGTGATCTGAAAATCATGGGCGCTCCATCAGTCCAGGGCCTCCTCCTCGGAGTTCAACATCTGTCAAAGCTTTGATTTAAGAATCAGGGGTGCCCCATCAGTCCAAAGCCCCACCCTCGGAGTTCAAGGATCTGTAAGGGTTCTGATTTAAAAATCAGGGGCGCCCCGCTCCATCAGAGTCCAAGGCCCCACTCTCGGAGTTCAAGATTTGAAAGAGTTCTGATTACACAAACCAGGGGCGTCCGAGGCCCCACCCCCGGAGTTCAAGCTCACTAAGAGGCGGTGATCTGAAAATCATGGGCGCTCCATCAGTCCAGGGCCTCCTCCTCGGAGTTCAACACCTGTCAAAGCTTTGATTTAAGAATCAGGGGTGCCCCATCAGTCCAAAGCCCCACCCTCGGAGTTCAAGGATCTGTAAGGGTTCTGATTTAAAAATCAGGGGCGCCCCGCTCCATCATAGTCCAAGGCCCCACCCTCGGAGTTCAAGATCTGTAAGGGTTGTGATTTAGAAATCAGGGGTGCCCCATCAACCCAAGGCCCGACCCTCGGAGTTCAAGATTTGAAAAAGTTCTGATTAAAACAACCAGGGGCGTCCGAGGCCCCACCCCCGGAGTTCAAGCTCACTAAGAGGCGGTGATCTGAAAATCATGGGCGCTCCATCAGTCCAAGTCCTCATCCTCGGAGTTCAACATCTGTCAAAGCTTTGATTTCAGAATCAGGGGTGCCCCATCAGTCCAAAGCTCCACCCTCGGAGTTCAAGGATCTGCAAGGGTTCTGACTTAAAAATCAGGGGCGCCCCGCTCCATCAGAGTCCAAGGCCCCACCCTCGGAGTTCAAGCTCTGTAAGGGTTGTGATTTAGAAATCAGGGGTGCCCCAGCAACCCAAGGCCCGACCCTCGGAGTTCAAGCTTTGAAAGAGTTCTGATCAAAAAAACCAGGGGCGTCCGAGGCCACCCCCGGAGTTCAAGCTCACTAAGAGGCGGTGATCTGAAAATCATGGGCGCTCCATCAGTCCAGGGCCTCCTCCTCGGAGTTCAACATCTGTCAAAGCTTTGCTTTAAGAATCAGGGGTGCCCCATCAGTCCAAAGCCCCACCCTCGGAGTTCAAGGATCTGCAAGGGTTCTGATTTAAAAATCAGGGGCGCCCCGCTCCATCAGAGTCCAAGGCCCCACCCTCGGAGTTCAAGATCTGTAAGGGTTGTGATTTAGAAATCAGGGGTGTCCGAGGCCCCACCCCCGGAGTTCAAGCTCACTAAGAGGCGGTGATCTGAAAATCATGGGCGCTCCATCAGTCCAGGGCCTCCTCCTCGGAGTTCAACATCTGTCAAAGCTTTGATTTAAGAATCAGGGGTGCCCCATCAGTCCAAAGCCCCACCCTCGGAGTTCAAGGATCTGTAAGGGTTCTGATTTAAAAATCAGAGGCGCCCCGCTCCATCAGAGTCCAAGGCCCCACCCTCGGAGTTCATGATCTGTAAGGGTTGCGACTTAGAAGGAAGGCAGGGGTGCCCCAGCAACCCAAGGCCCGACCCTCGGAGTTCAAGATTTGAAAGAGTTCTGATTAAACAAATCAATATGCTCGTTTGTAGGGTTGGATCCGCGGGGGCTGGATCAGTGGGCTTGGCAAAAACCAAAGTTATCAAAATCAGAAGTCAACCTGAACAAAGACTTATTGGATACGTTACGACACGGTAGGTTTGTCCAGAATTAATGTAACTGGAGATTTGCAGACACTGAAAATTGTTGAAAAAACCATGAAAAAATGTAGTATTATTTCTGTCCAAGCCGGTGTGTGAACAGAGCAACCGGAAGCTGTGCCATTCCAGTGACCCCTTGCACCGACATTGGCACGTCGGGCAAGGTCACACTAGATGGCTGGCCTTTGTGTCCCCAAGCAAGGAAACTTGATGGCTCT